ATACGAATGGCGGCCACACAGAAAGAGCACTTAAGTTTGTTGTTTCTTTGTAGTTAACGAGCCAGGGGGAGGTAGTTTTCAAATACCAAACCAGTGAAAAGCATTTTGGATAGAGTCGAGCGAACCCGAACTGAAAAGTTCGTATTCGTACCGAACTTTAGGTTTTTTGGACCCTGGACCCGAACATGGACATACCACTGTATGTTCGGGTTGGAGTTCGGTGTTTGACGATTTAAGGGCGCATTTTGAAAGGCTGCAGGGCAGCCAATCAACAAGCTTTTGACTCATGTGTCCATAGAAGCCATCACAGCTATGCCTACTAATGGTATGGCTGTGATTGGCCAGTGCAGCATGTGACCCAGCCTCTATATACAAGCTGGAGTCGCGTAGCGCTGCTCGCACATGCGGTCTTATTAGTGTAGGGAGAGGATGCTGCCGCTGATAGGGACAGCTTAAGAAAGAATTCTGCAAACTAGTACATTAGTGGGTGGGATGCACTTCATATCTAAGAGTCAAATAGAAGCTTCAAATACCGCAGTTACATCGGAGTTTTAAAAAGTAATTTTTTTTGGTGCTAAATAGTACATTAGTGGGGTAGTACATTAGTGGGGTGCACTTCATATCTGAGAATCAAATAGAAGCGTCAAATACTGCTGTCACATTGCAGTTTTGAAACTAAAAATGTTTTTGAGTCCTAAACTGCTAAGTAGTTTTTTAGTGGGGTGCACTTCATATCTGAGAGTCAAATCGAAGCTTACAGCGCAGTGGTAAACATTCTTATTTTCTGGGTGCTAATCTGCAAAATAGTACATTTTGGGGCCTGTCCTTCATATCTGAGAGTCAAATAGAAGCGTCTAATACAGGGAGTGCAGAATTATTAGGCATATGAGTATTTTGACCACATCATCCTCTTTTTGCATGTTGTCTTACTCCAAGCTGTATAGGCTCGAAAGCCTACTACCAATTAAGCATATTAGGTGATGTGCATCTCTGTAATGAGAAGGGGTGTGGTCTAATGACATCAACACCCTATATCAGGTGTGCATAATTATTAGGCAACTTCCTTTCCTTTGGCAAAATGGGTCAAAAGAAGGACTTGACAGGCTCAGAAAAGTCAAAAATAGTGAGATATCTTGCAGAGGGATGCAGCACTCTTAAAATTGCAAAGCTTCTGAAGCGTGATCATCGAACAATCAAGCGTTTCATTCAAAATAGTCAACAGGGTCGCAAGAAGCGTGTGGAAAAACCAAGGCGCAAAATAACTGCCCATGAACTGAGAAAAGTCAAGCGTGCAGCTGCCACGATGCCACTTGCCACCAGTTTGGCCATATTTCAGAGCTGCAACATCACTGGAGTGCCCAAAAGCACAAGGTGTGCAATACTCAGAGACATGGCCAAGGTAAGAAAGGCTGAAAGACGACCACCACTGAACAAGACACACAAGCTGAAACGTCAAGACTGGGCCAAGAAATATCTCAAGACTGATTTTTCTAAGGTTTTATGGACTGATGAAATGAGAGTGAGTCTTGATGGGCCAGATGGATGGGCCCGTGGCTGGATTGGTAAAGGGCAGAGAGCTCCAGTCCGACTCAGACGCCAGCAAGGTGGAGGTGGAGTACTGGTTTGGGCTGGTATCATCAAAGATGAGCTTGTGGGGCCTTTTCGGGTTGAGGATGGAGTCAAGCTCAACTCCCAGTCCTACTGCCAGTTCCTGGAAGACACCTTCTTCAAGCAGTGGTACAGGAAGAAGTCTGCATCCTTCAAGAAAAACATGATTTTCATGCAGGACAATGCTCCATCACACGCGTCCAAGTACTCCACAGCGTGGCTGGCAAGAAAGGGTATAAAAGAAGAAAATCTAATGACATGGCCTCCTTGTTCACCTGATCTGAACCCCATTGAGAACCTGTGGTCCATCATCAAATGTGAGATTTACAAGGAGGGAAAACAGTACACCTCTCTGAACAGTGTCTGGGAGGCTGTGGTTGCTGCTGCACGCAATGTTGATGGTGAACAGATCAAAACACTGACAGAATCCATGGATGGCAGGCTTTTGAGTGTCCTTGCAAAGAAAGGTGGCTATATTGGTCACTGATTTGTTTTGTTTTGTTTTTGAATGTCAGAAATGTATATTTGTGAATGTTGAGATGTTATATTGGTTTCACTGGTAATAATAAATAATTGAAATGGGTATATATTTGTTTTTTGTTAAGTTGCCTAATAATTATGCACAGTAATAGTCACCTGCACACACAGATATCCCCCTAACATAGCTAAAACTAAAAACAAACTAAAAACTACTTCCAAAAATATTCAGCTTTGATATTAATGGGTTTTTTGGGTTCATTGAGAACATGGTTGTTGTTCAATAATAAAATTAATCCTCAAAAATACAACTTGCCTAATAATTCTGCACTCCCTGTATTGCTGTTTCCGTTCAACTGCAATTTGCATTTTACTAATTTATTGCACTGGCACATATTATATATCGTTTTTTAAAGGACAGAAAGGGCTATAATTTGATCTAACATAAAAATAAATTCATTTAGTTGTTCTGACTTACAGAATATATAATGTGTCTGTGATTTTAAGTTTTTTTTGGTAATTACAGGTCACAAAACACAAGGAGTAAAATAAACTTTAAATGTGGAGCTATTTTAGAATTTGGTATGTTTGTCTTGTAAGCTTAATAGCCATAAAAGAAAACAAAATTGCCACACAAAAGTATACATTTATATAAAGTAGACTATTTACCTAAGGCTTTTCTGACACTTTCTATGTAACCATTTCACCGCCAACCTCTGCTAAATATAGGAGTAAAATTGTGGGGGTTTTTTGTGTGTGCTATTTCTGTACAAAGTTTTATTTTGTGTTCAGTTAAATCTGCAGAGTAAAATGACACCCCCATTGTATGTATTTGGCACTATTTCGTGAAGCTACAGTGCCATATAGGAGACCTGTCCTTTTCAGTATTCACAGTAGAATTTTGAAAGACAGATTTAATGAGCCTATGTTTCCATTTGGGGTATTATAGTAGTTTGGCTATTAAAAACCCCACAAAGGCCTACTATTTGTAAAAGTAGACACTCCAGGATATCTCATAAGGTGCATATTGTGCCTTAACATGCCCCCATTTTTTCACCAATATATGCCAAAATATGAGGTAAAAAATAATTTTGTGCATTTTTTACATACGGATTGCATTTCTGCTGGGCATTTTGTATATTTCATATGTGCCACTAAGTTCAAGCCCCCCAAATTATGCTCAGCTAAGTCTTCTGAGTAAAAGGACACCCCCATTGTATGTCTTTGGCACTATTTCGTGAAGCTACAGTGCCATATAGGAGACCTGTCCTTTTCAGAATTCACAGTAGAATTTTGAGAGACGGATTTAATGAGCCTATGCTTCCATTTGGGGTATTATAACAGTTTGACTGTTCAAAAAAAAAAACCCCACAAAGGCCTACCATTTGTAAAAGTAGACACTCCAGGGTATCTCATAAGGTGCATATTGCAACCCCCCAAATTATGCTCAGCTAAGTCTTCTGAGTAAAAAGACACCCCCAATGAATGTCTTTGGCACTATTTTCGCTACAGTGCCATATAGGAGACCAAACCATATCAGTTTTTACCGAACTTTGAATTTTGACGCTGGGCCCACAGGGGGCAGGATCAGCACTGAGCTGTCTCCCTGCACTTCACACAGAACCTGGAAGTGCAGGGAGGTGGAAGGTAAGTATACTGAGCACATGTGCTTGCTCTGACAGCCTGTCAGAGCGAGCACCGGTGCTGGGACAGAGGCAGACTGGAGCACCATTAACCACGCGATCGCCTCGATCACGGCGATCTGGGGTCATTTTTACCGTGTGACGGACAAGGTCCGTCACTCGACGTTAAGGGTCTCCCCTCTGTGATGGACCTCGTCCGTTACTCATAATTAAGGGGTTACACAAGTTTTAAAATATGTATGGGCCAACCAGTGGCTGTAAACAACAACATTTTACTGGTTACATTCATGACTACACACTCTAGTGAATAGGACCTTCATGTAGTGTATTTTTTTTTTAAAATCCTACAGCATCCTTTCATGTGCTTTTCAGATGTCAAATTGTGAATTACCAATTTTTGTGTAGCCTGATTTTTTTTTTAAAAGTGAAAAATAAGTGTTATTGTGATCGCTTCCTATACAGAAGCATTAATATACATTTCTATATTGTGTAAAGACACAACTACAAAGTTAAAAACCAAACACCAAAACAACGTGCCAGACAATCTACCTGTGCATGGCTAGTGTGATACAAACAATTTCCATATGTCCGTTGCAGACTTTACATGCTGGAAAAACACAGGTGCCAACTGCTGTGGCTTTCTGCAGTGTGCATACCGGCAAGGAGGGCAGGGTTGAGGAGTGGGTGGAAGATGATGTGGAGGATGATGAGGTCCTAGACCCCACATGGAATCAAGGTCATGCGAGTGACGTGGGCAGTTTGGAGGAAGAGGCGCTGTGGCACAGAGGCACCAACACAGCATAAGAATGAGTGGGGTGCAAAAGCGGAGCAGCTGTCCCCTAGCGCTCGTCGACAAGTATTAGCTCGAGAATTACCAGTTATCCAAGTAATACATGTAGCGATCAAATGATCCATAATAGACTTGAGCGAACCCGATCCATTCGTAGTTTCACAGTGAGGTGGGCAGTCCGGTGACCAGGACCCAAACACTGTCAGGATGTGACATTCACTGTAGCGGCTGTGTGCGCTTTTGGCGTTGTCACCCTGCTGCTGCTCGCCTGTTTGCGCTGCAGCGTAACTTCGGCCTTCCCGCTCACCGCCTCATGAGACTTTGCAAGCAGCAGCAGGCGATAGTGGAGTTTCAGCTGCAGCATGCACGGGTCAGTGGCTCTGCACCAGACTTCCCTCCAAATGATCAGAGTTAAAGGATATCAAGTGGACTCATTACAACTACAGGGCCTCTAAAGAGTCCTGTATTGTTATTTGTTGCCACTACCTTCCCGCGTCGGGATGGGTCATTTGCGCGCCTGCTGCCTTCTTTGCATGTGGTAGCCGTTTCTCAGGGTCCCTGTATGGAATGGAACCCTGATTCCCTGTTACCCGTGGTCACTATGGTAGGCGCAGAAATTGGCATCGAAAGTTGATATATATGACATCCGCATGCAAAGTCGCCGCCACGGGGATGTGCGATTTGCCAGAGGTTCTCTAGAGATAACAAAGTTCCTGCGCAACTATAATGTCAACAGCTACTCTGCGGAACAGAGTTGTCTTTTTTTATATGTCCCAATATTTTGGGGGCTACCCCAATTAAAATATATATATATATATATATATAAAGTGTTGGCTACCTCATCCTCCTCCTCAACCTATGGGTCACTTAGTATAAACTAGGTACACAATAGCAGAGGCTTGTGAAGGCCTTTTCTCCATGCATCAGGAGTTGAACATTTCTCCATGCATCAGGACTGCAAGAAATGCACCGCAGGCCGCAAATGTTTCTTTATTTGTATGTCCCAATATTTTGTGGGCTACCACAATAAAAAAACAAAACAAAAATATAACATAAAATACAGTGTTGGCTACCTCATCCTCCTCCTCCACTGCTGCTTACTCCTCCACCGCCATGGTCACCGCCTCCTCAACCTATGGGTCACTTAGTATAAACTAGGTACACATTAGCAGAGGCTTGTGAAGGCCTTTTCTCCATGCATCAGGAGTTGAGCATTTCTCCATGCCTCAGGACTGCAAGAAATGCACTGCAGGCCGCAAATGTTTCTTTATTTGTATGTCCCAATATTTTGTGGGCTACCACAATTAAAAAAAAAACAAAACATAAAATACAGTGTTGGCTACCTCATCCTCCTCCTCCACCGCCACGGTCACCGCCTCATCAACCTATGGGTCACTTAATATAAACTAGGTATACAATAGCAGAGGCTTGTGAGGCCTTTTCTCCATGCATCAGGAGTTGAGCTCAGTTTGAACAATGAAAGAGAATACCCTGCACTCCAACCCTCTCTCAAATGGATAATTCTGCTGATCCTCCTGACAGCCATGCTTTAGATTTTGATTTATGTTCTTCCAAAGCTAAATTCAAAGATTCCATCTAGTGCTATTTTATGGCTCAGTTGTATTTTAAATTTTTATGTTATTTTAAGTGATTTCCCTATCCACATTTGTTTGCAGGGCACTTGTCCTACTCTTACCCCATTTTACTTCCTTTTGCAGCTCTCTAGCCCTTTCCAGGAGTTTTTTAGAGGCATTTTTGTGCCCAAACATTCGGGTACCCATTGTCTTCAATGGGGTTCAGTTTCGGGGTCAAGTTTGAGCCCAAACCCGGACATCCAGGTGTCCGCTCATCTCTAATTTTGGAAACAAAATAGGGGAACACTTTCCAATAGATGATTAATAGTGAGTTCATCACATCTCTCCCCCCCAGTTCCATGGAACGGCATACCCACAATGGGTGAGCCTGGGGATTTCCGGACAAGATGTAGTTATTTCTCTAGTTCGGTTTGCTGGGACAACCAATCCGCGTTGGCATTCTGTTTTCCTGGCCAGTACTGCAAAGTGAAATTGTATGGTTGCAGTGCCAGACTCCACTGCTAAAGTCTGGGGTTGTCCCCAGCTATTCTGTTGAGCCAAATCAGGGGGTTGTGGACCATCATGATCATGAAGGATCATCCGTATAAGTCAAGCGCTGAAAAAAGCAAGGCAATATCCCAAATCCCCAGTAACCGGACGAAACACAGGTCTTTATTTGCAGCTCCAGTATTTATGCAAGTCCCCATGCAAGGGGTTTCCCTACTGTCACTGCAGGGGTAATACAGTAGGGGACTACATGGGGGACTTAACATTCTGGGCATTTCTCCCATCAGGCACTGCTGCACGAGAGGGATACTCCCACTGGAATATACCGTTAAGTGGATTATCCCTCTGTGCAGCAGAACCGGCGATTCACTTTAAAATACATAACTTTGCTTGTATTTGGTCTAATTAAACGAAGGGACGTTCAGTAGATAGCTGGGTCTGAGCACACAGTTCATGAGAATACCGCTCAGATCCCAGCTAAAACAACCGAACGCCGCATGAAAAACACATTATTTATAACACAAGTTAAAAGTACCAATTTACATAGATGGACCAAACTACCGAACGGCCCGGGACTCCCGAACGGTCTGGAAGCCCAGCGGTGTTCGCACCGTCGAGTAGCCATTTTCAGTTCCATGCGCTCGACGACCAAACACCGCTGGGGAACAAAGGATCCAAGATGGCCGACCGCCGCGTGGTCGGTAGCTGAACGACGGCACACCTAGGAGAGCCTCTAATTACCGATTGCAACATTGTTGCAATCGGTTAACAAGCGCCACACGTTCCTTAGTGGGTGGGCTATTGAAGTATAGTTCATTCGGTTCACGAACAGCCCGCAAAGGTGCTGTTCGTGAAATGAAACACAGTATGGCTATCTGCTTTCGGCAGATAGCTGACACGAACAATGCATATACAGAAAAGGTAGTCAATTACAGCTAGGCACATAATACATTATAATAAAGGTATAGGTCACTTTTCCCACATATTGTCCAAGTGGCTAGTTTTGCCACAGGCACATCTATCGGTAGTCTGGTGGTGATAAGTGGAACAGAAACCTTAGAGATACCCTTTAAGATTTTCTTGATGGGGTATAATGACAAAAAGGGGGTGTTGTTAGGGAAATTTGTGAGGCTGTGATGCTGCACCCCCGTGAGGTATAGTTTAATGGTATTGTGGGAAAGTTTTAAATGTAAGTGGCAAATGGAGGCAAAAGCCACCATAGTTTGGGTAGAAAAATCACCTTGTAATCCGAATTTAGCTGTGAATTTATTGAAAACGGTAAGTGCCCTAGTGTAGGTAATAGTTGTGTTAGGTGATAGTGCTTGGTGCATAAGATTCCTAGTGTGGTGCATTAGTGCGTTCAATCCAGGATTAACTTGTGAAACCTCGGTGTTCTGGATGGTTGATGGTGGGCTGACGGGAGTGCCTGGAAGAATACCTGGAATTGAGATCGAGACAGAGCATCAGTGGCCGTGTTGTGGATACCCGAGATGTGAAAGCAAATTAAGTGGAACTGGACGGTTGCTGCCAGTCAGGTCAGCTTGCGAATCAGCCGCATGATGGTAAGGGAGGAATAGCGCCCCTTGTTAATGATATCGCAAGCTGATGAGTTGTCGGAATAGCATTTTACTGCCTTGCCGTACCAGAGATGACCCCAGGTGTGTGCAACCGCCAAGATGGGGTAAATTTCAAATAGGGCTGAAGTCTCTCTTAAATCCGGCAAGGCATCCATCTCAGCGGGCCACTGACCCCTAAACCAGTGATTACCAAATATAGCTGTGAAACCCATATTGGCTGCAGCGTCAGTGTGAATGCAGGGTGAGGAGTCGGAGAGAGGGGGAATAAACATGGAGATACCGTTCCACTCAGTCAAAAACTTCCCCCACATGAGTAGGTCAGCTTTGGCGTGCTGGTCCAATGCAATTGGGAAGGCGTCCGGTACCCCGTGAAGCAGTCAAAGAAGCCTGGATACAAAAGACCTTCCCTGTGGAATGATGCACATTGCGAAATTCAGGGACCCCAATAAGGACTGAAGTTCCTTCCTGGTGCCTACATCATTCTGCAGGAACATGTCTATCTCCCCTCTCAAGCGGACCAGTTTGTCAGGGGAAAGGCTGGCGCGGAAAGTACCAGAATCCAGCTCTATCCCCAAGAAAGTAAGTTTAGTAGTGGGGCCAATCGTTTTAGAGGGAGTCAAAGGTACCCCGAGAGTGGAGAAAAGTGCTGAGGTGCTGAGGATATCGGTGGGTGTGCGTGCGCCTGGTTCTATTATGAAGAAGTCATCCAAATAATGAATGACGGCGTGACACCTGAGAATGTTCAGAAGCAGCCAGCATAGAGTTTCTGCGAAAATATTAAACAGTTTAGGGCTGCTTCTGGACCCGAAAGTGAGTCGCGTGGAAAAATAGTACCTGTTTCATCATTTAACACAGTGCAAGTGCCAAAGTGATGGGTGCATGGGCAGTAATTTGAATGCATTGGTTATATCTGTTTTGCTAAGCCAAGCGTTGCTACCATTTGAAATGATGGTGTGTATAGCGTCGTCTTACGTACTGTAATGAAAATTCATCTGCGGGTATGAGCGTTAATGCTAGGAACAAAAGAAGAGTGCGGTGCCGATAAATCGATAACCATGCGCTTTTTATTCGAGTATTTGTGCACAGCTATGTCAATGGGATTAGTCCGCCAGGAGGAAAACGGTGAGGAGGTGAAGGGGTCGATCGTGAAACCTTGTGCTATTTTGGCGGAAAGGAGAGCATCCATGGCTTCTGGGGCTAGGCAGGCTGATAGGAGATTGGGACATTCCAGCGTGCCTGAGGGAATGGCTACGAGACCCAAGAGAACCCTGGGTGAACTCTGTTAGCAAATATTCCACTAGATGTCTACTTGGATGAGTTTTCAAGTAAAAAAACAGGTTGTCGATATTAATGTCGGTTAGTCACTTGCTAGGGGACAACCTGGCCAGGCACATGGTCTTAGAGTGTGCCCTGAAGCAGATAGAGCAACAATCTACAGGCGCTGAAGCTGCAGGAACCTGCATTGAAATTGTTGCACACCTGAGCTTTCCCTAGAAAGGACCACCCTCTTGTTTATTGGAAGTGGATTGAGGGGTGGGAGTGGGGGTGGATGGATCAGAAGGGCACAAATCAGCCAAGTGAGTTGAAGAATTACATATGGCACAAGACAGGGGCCTCAGACTAGCGACACCAATTAATTCTTATGTTAAATTGCTTCAGATGTGTCGCCGCTTTCGCTGATATCGATTTATGATAGTCATAAAAAGATGAGCCCCCTTACTTGATGCCCAAATCCACCACTTCATGAAGATAGAGGTCCAGTTCCTCTCTCCTGTGGGGATATACCGAGCAGATGACATCACTGTATATCCCGAAGGCCAAAACAAAATTGGCAATAGATAATTTTTTGTTGAGCCTAGGGTCTCTAGCTTTAAGAACCACCAAAATATCCCCAAAGTCATAAGCCCTTTTCTCCAGCACGTCTTGGGAGGCTATAAGCAATGACACCAGACACACGTCCTTCCCATCCAGGATTTCTTTCCTAATGGAGTCTGGGACGGAGTGAGCTGGTGACACAAAAGGAGACATATCTGAGGCAGGAGCTGAAGGGGGAAGGATAGGGGCGGGTGTTGGTGCCATAGGTACTGTCGGGGTGAGGGCTGAGAGGTCAGGGAGGTTACCTGGGGAGGCGATGGCACTCTCCACCTTGCTTAACCTGCTGTTCAAGGTCTGCAGGATGGCCA